AGAGTGTCGAATGGGTCTGATAGCGGATCCAAAACGAGGCTCCGATCAGCCATCTGGCAATAGTGTCTACTAGTAAGTAGTAAGTTTACTTATTATCCCATCTCAACATCGTAAGACTTTCTTCTAAGGAGGTTCAGCCAATAGCCGCCGGAGTCAACCTGGTGGCCACTAAGGCAAAGTCAGCCAACATTTGCTTCATTTTATTTTATTTTATTTTATTTTGATTATTCTTCTTATTATTTACTCCGTGTTATTCTTGCCCCCAAAGAGAGGTCTACCAGCCATCATAATTTTCATCCCCGACAAGTTTCTTTCGACTTCAAACAATTGTCATCGTGGATTTAATTCCACACCAAAACAACATTTGCGTTTGGGGGCTGTCCAAAAGGAGGAGATGCATAAAGGAAGTGACCCAGCAGTAGTAAACAATAAGCCGACATGACATCCCTGAGCTCCCAAGACATTGTTGAAAGATGGTAGTCAAGTTGTACTCAGTGTAGGTAATGAGTATCGTTTTTCTTTCCCTCTCCAGGTCGACTAGTTCCCCAACTAGTAGCACATTATTGGGCACACGAGACAACCTTACGGCGCAGGGCCAGATTACCGTCCGGTAAGGTACTGGAACCATACCGAACCAAAGACCACAGTGGGAAGATCACGGCAAGCCGCGCCGAGCGGAGTTGATCAATCCTGCATCCGAGAAAATTAATACTACATAAGTTCCAGTTCAGGAGCTTGGAGCTTGGAGCAAAAGAGAAGGGGGACAGGTGACCACACGTTCAATTCCTTGTCCGTAACCTCCGTGCTCATCATACATACATACATACATACATAATAAAGTCTCGCCGTTTCACCTTCCGCCCCAACATTTCTCAGTGATCTCATCTTAATTTAATCTCTGAAGGCGCATCAGCATGGCTGAGTTCTTAGCTTACTCTGAAGTATATTAAGAATGGAATGTTATCGATCGAGCGTGTATCAGGTTGAAAAGTCACTCATCCGGTATAATATTTTTTTCAAGCCATCTGGATTGGTTCGATCCTGTCTAAGAATCTCCTAATAACTATAAATATGCTTTCCCTTCAACTATTCAGGAGTTTAAATTGGCCTCCGTTGGTCGTATTCGTTCAGCGTTCTATCCAGACCAAGAATTGCTGGTTGCCTGGCGCACAGTGGATATGAATGAGCTCGGACCATGACAGCAGAGCCCAGCGCCAAGGAAATAAGGCAGGATTCAAGGGAGGCTGATCATCATCACCGAGAAACACAGCCCTGACAAGAGGAGAATAATAATAATAATAATAAAAAAAAAAAAGCCTAATGATGAGTTTGCAATTGAACTAGGATTCTTGAATGGATACTCTAGCAAGACTTGGATTTACATCATGCTCGGTCGGATGCGGGGGGTTCTCTACTACTCCTGCGTATGGACCAATCTAATACATCATTCGACATCATAGACGCCGACCTTGCCGTGGCTCCCAAACTCCATCATCTTGGATCCCACATGTCTCATGAGGCAACGAACCAATATCTTCCGACTTTGTCGAGCATCCAAGCATCTATACTTTCCTCGATTCACCATGGTTTGCCCTCGTGATAGGAAGATGGGCGCATGGCTCAACATCACCTGATGGCCGCAGCCCTCGTGTCCTCGAATAACAAGTCCGGGCGTTCTGCACGGCAAGCCTACATGAGGTCATCCTGCATGCTTCCAGGATCCATTTCATTTCACCTTTTTTTTCCTTTCTTTTTTTTAACCCCATTTCTCCTCACTGTGAGGGCGTGACCCTTGCATGAATTCGAAATTATTTCCGTTTGGCCTGGACGGACTCAAATGATCGTCTGGAGTCAATTCCCGAACGATAATCTAACGGCAGTTGATCAGCAGCATTTGACCTCGGCGATTGGGACCATGTCACAACCACTTTCCACCTGCATAAGGTTCATTAAACATGGTTGCACAGTCATTAAACATGGGACCCATTGACTGGACGCCCTCAAGAACGTTTCACTGTCCGTAGCTTGAACAACACAACATGCGCTATCCTGGAGTCGATCGCATAGCCAAGCGATCCTGTCACGGCTAATCCAATCATACAATAGCGGTGACTTGATTTGTTGGCACCCACTTGGAGATCTACAACTGATCGGATATCGGATCAGAAGCGCATCCTTAATGCAATTGTTTTGCGCGAAGCATGCGGTACGTATGACCACCATCTACGGATGTGTATAGTGTATATGCTGGGGTACTGTCGAGACCCATAAGACGTGTGTATTTTGTCGGAATATTCGACGATTAGATAGATCGTAGCAGTAGCTATCTAGGCACAGTCAAACTTCTATTCTTATCCTGGAAGTTCATTCGCCTGGGATACTGAGCCTCAATCAGACAAAAGAACGTGGTAGTAGTAAAAGCTGGATGGCACCCTTTGTTTGGTGAGTTAGGGCTACGGCTTGCAGGGGCGACTGACTTTCTTTGATTAAAATCCCGAACATATCTCAAGTCCAGAGCCCAGACAACCCCAACAATCGAGCCCTATAGCCCAACTCCCAACAGTTCGACGGTACCGCCCTTTAACTGAAAGCTATGACTGCTGATCAGGGTAGCAAATGACACCTTTGTAACCGTAAGACCTAACTAATGCAGGTACAACACAGATGAAACACAACACATTCTCACTGTGCAAACCCGGCATGTCCAACCAACATTACACCATTCATACCCGATACGAAGGGTTGCATACGAGAGTTCCAAACAAGTCTAAGGCTGAGCCAGAGATCCCTACATTATCGCGAACCTGAAACAGCCTGGCATCCGAACACCAACAAGCAGGCACCAGCGAATAGAACGAGGCGCTGCAGTGGCAGTGCCCTTTTTTCGCACCGAATGGGCCAAACACGTTTCCCGGCCCGGACCAGTGTGATGTCATTGGCATGTCTTTGCGTCCAATTGCGTCGCCGGCCGTTTCTGGAATGTGTTGGAAGGAAATTAGCAGCGGCGGTGTCAGATGCGTTGGAATGTGGCGTGTGGGTATGCATGGGCTTTTTGTCCCGAGGAAAGGGCGAGGCTAGAATGTAGGAACGGGCACGGGCCAGTTAGGTGGAGTGAGATGAGGAATAAATAGATCTAGCGGTGCTTACCTGGCACGTTCTGATACGACCCGACCCCGTTCTTCAGTCGATATTCTTTAGAGCGCTTTGTGGTGACTGATTGTGTTGTGTTCCATACGATCCTGGGTTGACGTCCTTGTGGTGTATCAGTGTGAGGGAGTCGTCAGAGGATGGAATACTAGTTACTATGGACTTAAGTCTTGTCCTCTCGCTTTTTTCACGCTATCGTATCTTTCTCCCAGTGGGAGGGCATGGTAGATGTTTCTGTATAGCCCTCAGGTAGTGTTTGCACTGTCTTGTTCTTCTTCTCATAGAACAAGGAGACTGCCATTTGGCCTGCATGAATGGTGGTGTTGGTATCTTACGGTACAATGCCGAACTAACATGGGACTTAAGGTCGAGATAATAAATCTTCCGAATCATAATTCAGCATCTGGATATAAATTTGTCGACAAATAGTTGTCTTGACAAAAGATACCCTGTTTGGATCCACCGTAGACACCGCATTGTTAGCTAAGATAGTAGCCATAACAAACAGATTCTCATGAAGTTCCATAAAGTATCGTCCACGCAATCAGTTATAATCCTGCACCTGCCACCCATCAACGACAGCGCTTGAATTGCATGATCCGAGGTGGCTATTAGCTGGTTTGATAAGGAAACGCCGAGTTGGGATACAAAAGTGTACCATACTCGGTTCGAATATTCCTGGCTGGCTCTGTGGTCACAGTAAGCCTGCCTGCAGATCTAATAAAGGAAATATACATCGCCGATAGACTTGAGACTGCAGTACATCAGAAGGATGATCTCCAGTGGGAGACTCAGACCCAGACACTTTTAGAGCAATCGCCATACGCCGTCCTTAGGTGGATCTGAGGTGAGAGCTTAATCCATGGGATAAGCTGTCAAACTGTGCAATTGCGACAGTAACCTATTCTGTATGGCATAGGGCTGATAAGGCATCTACGTATTTGGCACCGTGAATGAGTGCCGCAGTTGAGATCGCATGGTTTTTTGTGAAGGGACGACCTCGTCGACAAATCCATAGTTATTGAAGTTAGGGCTATCGCTCCCTCTCTTCTTGTCCGAGGGCCCTAAACACCACCCCTCTGGTTTGCCCCTCTTAATACTTGGATTTTTTGCCAGATAGCATAGACCCGTAATCTATGCTTGATACAGATAGTTCATAGCTTGTAGAAAGGGTATGGATTCCCCAGCGAGGCTCCGCCTATAGTACATGTGCTGGCAATCGCGGAAACTTGCAATTCGGATAGAAATCCCCTGATAGCCAGCATAATGCTGGGGTTTCTACCAAGGTATGTAAATACATTGAAGCAGAAATGTATCCAAGGACTTTGAGAAAAACGTTCAAAAGAACATACAACAGCAGGGATTCAGAAAGGCTCGGATTCTGACAAAAAGATAGCAATGATGCGTGGCACTCCACCTTAACAAAATCTCTCTAAGTTTACTTCATCATGCCAGAAGGTTGCCTATCAAGACCATGTTCTGTAGGCTTCACAGTGACTACGACTAATGTCGCTCTATATTAGCGACGCATGTGTACTATGTGGAGATCGATTCACCACCGGCGCCTAGACTCCCACATTCTTTTTCAAGAATAACACATCATTGACTTAGCATTTCTGAAAGATGAAGTATTGGCCAATGTTGTTCAAGGGGAAACTAGTATTCTATAAAGACTCATATGACCGTATTGTGGGGATTCCTAGTCCAAACTCTTCTTGTTGTAAGCCGTCATACCACTTTAACAGCTATTCCTCACCCTATCTGCACTACAGATGATTCACAGCTATAAATTCTGTATAGAACGTACGTGTTGCATTTAGAGCAACCCAGCCTTTGGTACAGCTCCATTTTGCTCAATAGACACCCTGAAGCCGACACACATCCAGTGTATGAGAAGTTGTGAAACCTTGCAGCAGAGCAATAAAGTGTGTGTACATTGCGCATAAGATAGCGATATGAAAGAGCTGGTGCGAGCTTCCCCAGATATCAAACCTACCCGGTGCCAAACGCTCCGGAATTCGGAACTATCGATGTTCATCAGAATTCTTGTTTTTCGGGCAAATGGACACGCGGTGAGCGTGCAGACATACCGCGTATAAACCGACGCCAGTGCCATAGAAAGTAAGCTCGAGCAGATACCATTTCATTCCCGAGTATTGGAGCATGTATTCAAGCCCGTATCGTTGGACTCCATGCAGCAAGGGTATAAACGATGAAGCACCAAAAATAACGAAGGTACCCACCTTCACTTTCCGCCAGCGCGGCGTTTTGAGCAGGGAATTCGAGGTTAGAACACCGGTAGCAGTGCCCGTGGTCAAGACCTAGAAATTATGTTAGCGTATCATTGGATTTGACTCGGCTTCCTGGAGGATGGGGTCAATGGTGACGATCGCTCGGAGGGACTCACAATAGCCCAGTGGAATTTTTCCAAGCTCGCTTCACAGAAGAATGCATAGTAGATGCTGGAAGAGAATGTGCCCACTGTCACAATGATAATACCAAGCAGATCCATTCCATGCCAGAACTGTTCTACTTGATGCGAGTGGGGTTGCATCAGATGGTAAAGTGCGCTGAGGGCCAAACAGATCTCCGCACACCAGAAGTAGACTCTAAACATAGCGTGGTCCATGGACGAGACATTGAGAAACTGAGGCTCTCCCAGGTACCACAGGAAGGTAGTTGCAACGAGTGGTAGGAGCAGAGCCCCGATCAGATGAGTGTGCACATTGCAAGTCTCGTTGTGCAAAAAGGCCAGGCTGGTAAAGATCACCAGATAGTCTGCATTCGCTGGCCGATAGCCACTGAGGATATACTTGTTGTCGAACTGCCACTCGGAAACCTCGTGCCACGTTACGGTTCGCGCGTTAGCCTTTGGCTGGTTTGTGGGGTCATTCGTGGTACTCATATTGACTGTCGGCACTTGCCGTTTTTTGAGTTCTGCTCCTGACATGATTCCCGACATATCTCAGCTGCGCTTGACGATGAAGCACACCTAGGAGGGCACAGGAGGGGTAGACGACGTAGATGGGATGAAGGATAACAAAGGGCTGGATTGTTGAAAGAAGGGCAGAGGAACGGATGAGACTCTCAAGGAGAGTGCGATGTAATAGTAAGGGGTTCGGTAGACCTGTAACAAAGGGTTGCTGAGGAATATAAGCGTAGAGAAAGTGTGACTTGGATCATTTGAACCGATTACCTCTCACGAGCAGACACATGGTTCTATTGCCGCCTCAAATATGAAATGAAGGATCACTCCTTAGTTCTCCTTCCCATACAGTACCGCTGCACTACCTCGTCCTAGGAGTAGTAAACCTGACAGGCCCGCTCGGCCGCAAGGTTCGGATCTCCAAGGTTAGGGTGGTACATTGGTACTTATACCACTTGTCAGGGTCCGATTGCCAGAAGATGTGGGTTGTAAATACACGGCCAGTGTGATTGAGTTAATCTGGTTTTAGCTATGTATTGTAGTAGTGATAGGTTAGTATAGCCTCAAGGGCTGGTTTGAGGGGTTTAAATAATACAGAACACACCTTCACTGATGGACTAACGGTGCGACACCTATAATATGTCTTCCAGTCTCACATAATAGAGCCAATTTGAATCCCAGTGAACTCTTGAAATCCACCATTCTTGAATGTAATATCATGGATGTGGATCACGGAAAGTGGACATTATATCAATGTCATTCGGGATTTGGGATTCGTGAATATAGCGAGTGTATAAAAACAGCCATATCTAATGCACTACACAGTCAGACATTGCTGTTTGCTGCGGCATCGAATGATGGAGCAAATTTTGGCAGAGCTTTTCCAGCTAAATATCCCAGCGTCGTTTGTATACACTCGACCGATAGACATGGTAATCCCTCTACGTTCAACCCGACAGCAGACATCAACTTCAGTCTACCTAGGGAGCATGTCTGTTCTCACTGGCCAGCTGGCACGAATGGCCACAATCCACCTGTTCATGTTTTGTCAGGAATATCAGTCGCAACACCGATTGCCACTGGGTTAGCCGCATCGATCCTGTCTTTTGTCTGGTAGTAGGAATAATCTATCAATCTAGGAAGTGAGTTGCTTGGGCCGTGGCTGAAAGATATTCATTCAATGGATGCCGATTTAAAGAGTATGGTCAGACAGAGGAGGGGGGTAGGCTATGAATACATCACGCCACATCTACTCTTTGCTAGGAACTCGACAAGAGAGCATGTGTATGAAAGGATCAGGAATATCAGAAAACACATGTATGACTTGAAACCTATAAATAGTCCAGTCAGCTTCCAGCTGTACACAGTTCACTGGCGTCTCAGTTGTATTTGAAGATTTACTTAGCATAATTAAGCGGGGACGTAATAGACATTGCCGTTCTCGGCCACATCAGGAATGGCTTTAGTAGTCTTGATATCAGACCCATCCACGTCCTCAACCAAAAAAGATTCGTCGTTACCGTGTCAAATGTGAACACATTCTTCCCTCGGGGAAGGGAAGACGTCCAACAGGCTTAACGGCCCACATTTAAACTATCTCCTAGTATTTAAGAGAGCAGAGCCGACAGTAGTAGAGATAAGAATGTTTATATATACACAGAGAAAGAAGATATTTTGTAAAAATACGGACTCAGTCAACATATCTTGACTTTCAAAAAAAAAAAGTTTTTAAAAATTGAACATCTAGCATGTCCTGGTTTCGATCCAGGGACCTATTATTTGTTAGGATTCCGATGTCGATTGGCTGGAACAAGGCAATCTCACCTCCGGGTTATGAGCCCGGCTGTGTGAACGTTAGCTTCTGATCTAATTTAGAGATATCACGTGATTTTTCATACCGCTCTTCCCCTGAGCTAACATGCTGTATTTACATTAACCGATGCTAGGGTTATTTCAGTTGAGATGGTCTCCTAGAGAAAAGATGTCTTTAAAGGACATGGCTTCAAATGTTTGAGGTTCAGGTTAAGACTTTGGGCTTACTATATGGGGCATAATTTGTTTTTGGTCACTGCATCCACGACTACTCAGTGGATCCTTCGAGCAGACGCTAAAATCGGAGCTAGAGGCTAGGATTGATCAAAATTGAAGGGTAATTAATGTGTCCTGTGGACGCGTAAATGAGGATGGTTATGTAACGTGAAGGCTCAAGGGCTCATTTTCCAGTCGGCCGCGTTCAAGATGTGGCTTAAGTACGGCTGAGCGGACGGAAAGCCCTGTTCTCCACACCCTATGGTCGTATGTACCAGTTTTTTCTAATTACTAAACTATATAGTGCAAATCAGGGAGGTGAGATAGTGTCATGACGGGCTCAGATATAGCTAGCTTTATAAGGTGCGATCCAGACGATATCAGACCTAGGGTCCGAGTACCTAATTGTGACCTTTCGGCCTAGTTGAGAATGGACTGTTCTTACAAATCGATTGTATATGCTGTAAAGTTAGTTAAGCAAACTTTCTAAGAGTTGTTGCATGTTCTGTCTGAGAGACCGTGACGTGTGAGACAACGTTGAGCATAACGTTATGCTATTCTTGGCATAACGAGAGCCTTCAATATTCAGGAAACTATATATATGGTGGTAGTAATGTGGCCGAGTAAACAATCACACTTCAGACTTTTACATTGAAATAAATAGTTAGAGCTTCTATAATATTGCCCATACCACCTACTTTCCCGAAATGAGCCTGTCAGATAAGATAGCTATTGTGACCGGGGCCTCTCGCGGGATTGGCGCTGGAATTGCTTTGGAGCTTGCCAAACAGGGAGCGAAGGTATACATTTCCATAGGCACTAAATCCTTAGATCTGACTATTGATACAAATCTTGCAGGTCATGCTTACCTACGTGTCGGCCAGCAGTGAGGATGCCGTCGACGGAGTTATACATCGGATACGTGGTTTAAACAACGGCTCCGATGCTGCCAAAGTGCGAATCGACCTTCACCAGGTGGAAGCCCCTGAAACAATCCTCTCAGCTACCTTCCGCGCGTTCCCCTCAAGCGATGGCAAGGTGGATATTCTTGTCAATAACGCGGCACATTCGCACTGCAAGCTTCTTACAGACACCGAAATCGAGGATTACGCCTCTATGTTCGATGTGAACGTCCGCAGCACCATCTTCATGACCAAGGCTGTGTTGCCGTATCTCCGTGCCCCGGGGCGCATTATCAACATAACATCTATTGTAGCTCGCCGGGGATCAGTGGGGTTTTCCATCTACTCGGCTACGAAAGCAGCTGTGGAAGGGTTCACCAGAGCCCTGGCATGCGAACTGGGTCCCTATGGCCACACCGTCAATGCTGTGGCCCCTGGGCCCGTGGAGCCAGGCATGTTTCGGGGAACGGTGCCGGATGATTTGGTGAAGTATGTTCTGGACAGCACACCTCTGGGGAACCGGGTCGGGACACCGGAGGAGATTGCTGCCGTCGTGACTTTCTTGGCTGATCCAAAGGCGTGTTGGTTGACGGGTCAGACTATATGTCCAAGCGGCGGACTGAATATGGTCTGAATACATGTTTTTATATACAGCAGTGTTACTCTGCTTGAAGTGTTGTATTAGTTTAGGAAAGCTCAAGGCATTTCTCGCCTCTCTCTTTTCTTCCGCGGTTACTTCTCTCCACAGTGTCGGTCTCAAAGGCCCACCACCACCTTTCAAACATCAGCTGTCCTATTTCCCAACCCGCCACCTCAAATGGGTCGCTGCTGTGAACTCTGATTCCCTCTCCCCCGTCGTCTTCCATATCATACACCAACCGAACGAGCCCCATTGGATCCTGAGCCGACTTCGGACGTAAATTGACAGGGAGGTTAAACACCTGGATCAATTTATCCCGGGCAGTCGGCCAGGGAAGGAGATCTAGAATCGGGTGATGCGAGATAAGAACTTGGGTTCTAGTTGGCCGTAGATGGTCAGGTAACGTCTCCAGATCGATGGTAGTAGTATAATCTCCATCGCTGGTTTGGCTTGAGCCTGATGTCTGTGTAGTAGAAGAGGTCGATGAAGGGGGTAGCGAGGATGACAGCGAAGAAGTAGAAGATTGGGTGTATAGCCTTGGTCTGTAAAACGAACTAACCGCAGCAATATCCCAGAGGCAATCTCCGACGCCGAGCCTTTGAGCTACCCTAACTGCTGCACTCAGAAGGGTAAGGGAGGGAACCTGGAGCAAGTGATCATCGGGAAACGTGAAATTAGAGGACTGGTAGTCTTGTAGATCATCTGAGATATTGTCCGTGCTCTCTGGGTTACTGAGCAGACTATTAAACTGCACGTAATCGCCGTCGCTATGGCCCTGAGCTGACGTTTCTGGCTCTAGGAATAGTGGTAATGGAGAGGCCTCCAAAGGAGCGTCAGTTGTGGAGATAAGTGAACCTAGCGATGCTTGCCCCGAGGTTCTTGGAGAGAGAGCAGTGAGAAATGGCGAAGCAAGGATTGATAGTTCTGAGGGGAGTAGATGTGGTACGGCTGGTAAGAAAGACCCTGTGAAGGCCTCCGGCACTAGAGTCATATCATTGAATTCGGAAGCCGTACCAGCAGAAGAGGAGTCAGCGCCCGTTGAGGTTGTCATTTCCTGGCCTCCATAGCCTGAGTTTACAGTATTACTCTCACCCAAGGCAACTGGAGTTGAGAAGGGAGATGAAACATCTGTCGGGAGGCCGGGGCCACCTCTATCTTTCTCGGGTCCCAGAGCTGTTAATTCTTCATTGTGCGAACTCACGCTGTTTAGTTGCGCTTCCAGGGCTTCTATTCGACGTTTCTTTCTTTGTCCTGCCATAGTTCAGATTGAGATACCAATTCTCGTTGGGATATAGAACCTACGGTATCGTCTTTGGGCAAGTACATTCAGGACTCGTTTCCGTTCTGTCGCATCTTCCGTGATGTCCGGGGCAACCAGATCTCTTTCTTTGCGTTTTCCAGCCATTTCGACTCAGGAATATGCATAATTGTTTTGGTAGAGGTTCTGACAGGCCATGCGAGGTGGGTGACAACACGAGGATGACTCATCCAAGAAAGTTAACGTAACTAAGGGATGTTGCACTCGGCATCACTTCTTCAGCTTCAGCTTTATGATACAGAAAACACCCAGATGCTGGATACCAATATCCACACGACCATCTTAACTCATCTATTCGGTGTACCTATAAAACTGCTAGCCGTCTTAAATCACAGTAGTTCGAACAAAATCCTTCCATGCAGGCACACTTCCGTGGATCAAGGTCCTTCGTGCTGACTGGTTCCAGTACTGGAGAGTTCTAGACCTTTATCCCCTCAAACTAGTGAAGCCACTTGTAGACATCGGTGGTTAGCGGCGAGGCGTTCCGGCGTGCACTTATAAACCAATCGAAGGCAAGGACCTGTCACGATTTGTACAGTTCTGTCGGTGACCTATAAGAGCTCCAGCGTATTATTTCATGTCCACATACCACCAAGGCCGACCTAGCTATATAGAAGAGGGATTCTACCCAGTGCATGATAACCTAATCTAAGGGGCACGAGACGGCAAGAATGGTGTCTTTCTTGTTGATGTTGGTGGGAACCAAGGATATGATCTGGACGAGTTTCTATCCAAATGGCCCGGTGCCCCGGGCCGACTGGTCTTGCAGGATTTGTCAACGGTCCTGGATGATATTGTAACACTGGACCTATCAATTGAGCGGATGGCGCATAATTTCTTCGCGGAGCAGCCGATTGAAGGTTAGTGTCAACAGTATATCCAGTCATTGCTCCTACATCAACGTACGTTGATCAATCCCAGGTGCGCGAGCCTATTCTCTTCACAGTGTCCTACATAACTGGAACGATGAGGACTGCCAGACTATTCTCTCCAGACTTGTGGCTACTATGGCACCTGGATATAGCAAGATTCTGATCAATGAAATTGTTATCCCTAAGACCGGAGCGCATTGGGAGGCCACCGCTATGGACATCTTGATAACAGTACATCTTGCCGCAGGGGTGCGGACTGAACAGCAGTGGCACCAGCTTATCGAGTCAGTGGGGCTCAAAGTTGCCAAAAATTTGGCACAGGGTGGGCAGCGTTGCGAGCTTGATTGAGTGTGAGTTGGCGTGACAAAGAAGATTAGAGTGGTTGCGTAGGTAATGGGCTCAGGTATTTCTTCTTTTCCGTTATGTTTCCTTCTTGTTTCTATCTGCCCTTTCGGTATCACGCGCGGTTCCTTGGGTCTCTATCGGAGTTTCAATAGTGTGAGGAAGCTGGGAACTTCTGTCCGGTATCAGACCGTGAGCGTTGCATGTGAATATGACCACATCCAAGAGAAAAAGTCCTGTTTCTTCCAGAAATGACTCATTCAAAAAACAGCCATTTGATCACCGGAGGCCATTAAGCTTGTATTGGGTAATGGAGAACCCAGAGTAAATTCCCGCATCCAATAGTCCGCGTCAGTCGCCCACCCCTTTCTTCTCATGTATGAAGGGATGACCCAGCTGCCGGCATATTGAACTCACCTTAGCCGGGTATAACCGCCTGTCCAGTTAAACGTGTAGTAATAGAGGGTATCTTACTGTAATGGGAATCTGATATAACAAACCATTGGGATGTTTTGTCAGGGTGCATAGTACAGGGGGTAGTATTGCTCAGAAGCTTGCAAGAGAGGTCCGGTCGAAGTAATTGGGCAGATGACCTTCAGACGGGCCAAAGAAAAGGAATATAAGAGACTCAACCAAGATCAATCTGAATATGGGCATGCCTTATTAGGATACATATTGACACAGCAAAGTACGTACAACGGCTCTGCTAGCATGAATTTGTCTATGCTCAAAGATGTGGAGATGCATCTGTATTTTCGGAAGGAGCCTGCTAAGCTTGATAGAAACAGGTATAGCAGTTCATCCGATACAAGGATCAGCAGATGGCGATCAGCATGATCACATTCTTGTTTTAATTTGGTTCATAATTGCAAGAAGAACACTCTCCTTCAACAAGGACAGCATCATTGGTCTAGTGGTAGAATTCATCGTTGCCATCGATGAGGCCCGTGTTCGATTCACGGATGATGCACTTCTTTTTTCTCTTTTTTGACTACTGACAATCTAATCTCTATCCCTGATTCTTAAATGGTCATAGTTCTTTTCCCCCTTTTGTTTTAGCAACATTCTAAGCTAATCATTTGCTCGCCGCATCTATGATGCGAGGATCACGTTTATTAACCCTCCACCTGGAGCCCTGAACTGGTATGTACTGCTTCATACTCACCAGTATTATTCCAAGAGACTGGGACTAACTCCTGCCACTGTTCTATGCCGAGCGCGACGGCGAGAAGTGGCAATGAATTACTCTCTCCAGAGATCGTATCGCCAGGAGCGCATGACGATGGTAGTCGTAAGCCATTCAGGAACCCATGATGCCTTACTCATTCTCAAGCAGCTCGAGGCAAAGATCAACCTATACTCCGCAGAGCTGGGGCCCCTTGCTGTTCGAGGAATGTGTCTGTCATCATGAACTTACCAAGACATAGGCAAGAAGAGGTCACTCGGCTCCTTATGTCCCTCGCTCATGGCTCCCAAGGATGTTAAAAGGGTCTGGAATCAGGGCCAGACCGAAAGTTCTAGCTCCATCACCCACTGTTTAGCGTTTAGCTTGTCTCAATGAGCTGAGACACAATGTCATCACAATCATCTGATACTCTCGAGCTCAAAGAAGCCAATGCCAGTGTGTCCCAGATATCCGCTGAGGTTTCATGCAGCAATGGGGGCTGGGATGATGACCCTCAAAACCCCATGAACTGGTCGAACGCCTGGAAAAGGACAATCATTGCACTGGTTGCCTTCGCCACGTTCAACGAGTGAGTATAGCCATCGCATCAAGATCTGCCCTGCCCTATGGCTGACATCGGGACACTCCTCAGCGCCGCAGCTTCAAGCATTTTCACACCAGGGGTACCACTCGTTCTTGAGGAATTCCACACCACAAACCCCGCCATATCGCCATTCCTCATATCGATCCATGTCATTGGCTTCGCAACGGGACCGCTGCTTTTCTCCCCTCTCAGTGAGATCTACGGAAGATGTATTGTCATGCATATTTCAAACGTAACTTTCTTTTTTTCTTGCATTCTCTGCGCTCTCAGTGTCAACGTCCCTATGCTAGCTATAGCTCGCATCCTTCTGGGAGTGGCTGGTTCCATACCCAATGCACTGGCAGGAGGTTTTGTGGCGGACCTGATCCCTCTTGAAAGACGGGCGAGCTCGCTCGCCTTGTTGTCTGCCGGGACTCTATCAGTACGTAACCTTTGTCAAGCAATCAGTACATCTACTAATCAGTATCCCCTTCCAGGGCACGGTGGTCGGTAAGCTCACCCTGGAAAACCACATATACACACGTCCATAACCATAGGATGAACTTCTTACATTAAATCCAGGCCCGATTGCAGGCGGTTATATGGCACTAAACGTGGGCTGGAGATGGACATTCTGGCTCGAAGCCATCGTGGTACACACCCAAGCAAAACCCCATACACCAGCAGAACACCCCGACGCTGATACATAATACAGGTTGGCTGCAGCACGATAGCATCATCCCTACTCCTCCGAGAGACCTACGCTCCGGCGCTCCTCCGAAGGAAAGCCGCAAAACTAGGCACGCAAAAACCCCTCAAAGAAAGCGAAAGCCACTGGAAAGCCCTGCGGAGAGGCATCTCACGACCGATGAAGCTCTGCCTCTGCTCGCCCATCGTGATGATCATCTCGCTCTACAACTCCATCAGCTACACATACATGTACTACATCATCACCACCTTCCCCACGCTCTTCGGCGAAGAATACGGCTTCAACGCAGGCGAGGTCGGGCTCGCCTACATTGCCCAAGGGGTCGGCTGCCTAGTCGGCCAGCTCGTAGTCGGCCGCTTCGCAGACTGGTACATCCAGCGCCAACGAGCCCGATACGGCACCACGACGCCCGAAGACAGACTACCCCCCGCCATCGTAGGGTACGTCGTTCTCGCCATCGGCATGATGTGGTTCGGGTGGTCGGCGCAGGTCCATGCCCATTTCATGGTCCCCATTGTCGGCTCTGGGGTTGTGGGCTTGGGCATCGTGGCCGGGTTTCTCGTTGTTCAGTTCTATATTGTGGATGCTTTTGAGGTCTATGCTGCCAGTGCTTTGGCGGCCAATAACCTTATTCGGGCTATTATTGCGGCCCTCTTGCCCCTGTCTGGTCCGGCGATGTATGATCGCCTGGGGTATGGTTGGGGGAATACTATTCTCGGTCTCGTGGCGTTGGTTATTGCGCCGACTCCGTTGTTGCTGATGAAGTATGGACGAAAGATTCGGATGCGGTGGCTGCTAGAGCTGTAGATAGTTGGACTAATATTATTTTTTATGTTCGTTTCATACCTTGTTTTCTCTTTAGAAGAATCATGGTCGGTGTTGTGTGGGATAGTGAAGAATACTGATGTACATCTCATGAAAGAGGGAGTCGGTAATTAATTCACTTTACTTAAGACGATGGTCCTCTCTTCTCTGAAGAGGGAGAGGGGAGGAGGGGGGGTTTATACTCGGGAGCCCGGGAGCCTGGTTGCCTTGGGCATTTATATACCGTATGGGTGTTCGAGTTAGCACCCTATAACAAGTTGGTGAGTGTCTTTTGCTATCTCTCCGACAGACCAGAGTATGCGACTGTGTCGTTACTTCCTAACTGTGTGGTTATGGTACTAGATGCTAGATACAAAATAAGTATCATTTCTATGTCTCTCAGGATTCATAAGCAGAAGGTGTTTCGCCTACTATGTGCGCTTCCTCCGCCAACGTTCTTGAGGGTGTACTATTTACACTCCCAAAGAAACATGTTAAGGTACGGCGTCTGCTCGAACGTGAATGACATGTCTATAATCTCTATGTACTCGATGCTCTACAGTAAATATAACCAGAATAATCTCAAGATCACTGACCCTGTCCTCCTACGCCTGAGTAGCGTTTTTTGCGTCTTATTGGCTAGATTTTCTTATTGATAGGATGAAATTCACTCTTTCCTAGGTACACCCGCTTTTATCCTCTATGAGTCTACCATAGTATAACAATCTACAAGGTTCAACACACCACCACTCTACTCATTCCCCACTCTGGCATGGAAGCTCAATACTACCTCTCAAAAGCTCCCCCAATAATGCAAATCATAGTCCACCCCACCAGGCCTCCACAAAGGCGAAGGCGTATACACTGGGATGGGCGAAGCCGCTACACACAGTTAGCATTCCACACCAAGCCAAACCCCCAATAACAAGAAACAAGACCGTCGATATGAAAATGATCTAGAAAAGAAGAGAAAACTCACACCCAAACCCAGTACTCGGGGCCGCCCAAGCCGGCAACCCAGGCTTCACCCAGCCCGTGGGCGTCTCCGTCACCGTAACAGTCCTCGTATAAGCCGTGGGCACCTCATCCACCACCAACGGTTCAATTCCATCATTAACCCCATAAGTGCCATTACCGGTCCCAAAAACATTACTGATCTTGTTGACCACCGCATCCCCCGATTCAGTCCACACTGAAACATCCTCCACCGTCACATTCGTCGCAAAGGTCAGATCATTCGCAATCAGGTACAGCGGGGGCCGCTTCGCGCCGTCGGCGACAGAGCCGGTCACGTTCCGGAAGACGATATTGCTGAGCGTGACGGCGCCGGTGTCCGGGGTGAAGGTGTTCTGCCAGTATTGGTTGATGTTGAGGCCGTAGAGACTGGCCTTTGATCGGAAGTTTTCGAACGTGATGTTGGTCACGTAGCCTGAACCGCCGGGGTAGGTTTTGATGAAGGCTATGTTGTTGCCTTGCAGGATGCTTATGTTTCTGGCGACCTGTTTCGTGATTAGTATCGTTTATTGGGGAATGGGGGTTATAGGAATTTGGGGGGTGTACGATGTTGGAGATCTCGGCGGAGACGTTGAGACTGCCGATGGAGAGTCCGGAGCCTGCTTGGTTGCAGACTAGATTTTCGACCAGGGCGTGGTGAGAGGGGCTTTTGACGGAGACGCATTCGTCGCGGTTTGTTACCTTGAGTATTGCCTTAATGGACGGTTCTTAGATGGGGGGTGAGTGGGATGGGGTGTATACTTCGTTGTCATGGATGTAGTAGTTCGTCCCGATTGCGTCGATACCGTCGTAGCTGCCCAGGTTGGCTCCTCGGATCGTGAGATGGTACGCTTCGACGTTCACGGCGAAGTCCAAAATAATATGGAACTTGGGACTGTCGACCAGGATCAGGTCATGGACAGAGGCGTTTGTCGGAGAGATCAAGCGGACGAGACGGGGTCGATCTGTGCTATAGTCTCATTAGATCCATCGATCCAGGACCACCGGACATCTAGAAGTAGATGAATTCTCATACTTATTCAAATTCCGATACAAATACCCCTGTCCCTGAAATGCGCCCAATCCATTGGAAGAATAAAACTCGAAATCAACGGCTACACAACACCTATCAGCCTTTATCCACACGCATGTATACCACCGCAAGATGCAAAAGACACTCACCATTAACAATCACCAAAACATCTAACAAAAACTTATGGTCACCCTCTCCATTAATAGTCGCATTGAGCAAGTCAACACCAGCAGAGCCCTGGAGGATTAACGAACGCTCAATTTCCCAGTTCCCGCCGTACGCGGCCGTGATCAGTCCGTCCAGCTGGAAGGCCCAGTTTGTGGCATTGCTGAGCACCACGCCCCGGTTGAGCAGGTACTGGCCTTCTGGGACCACGAGTCGACTTCCTGGGTTGGGGCGGACGCAGTCGTTGAAGGTTGTTTCGAGAGCGGTGGAGATGTCTGTGCTGTTATCGGCGACTGCGCCGTAGGATAGAATGTTGCATTCGGTGGTCTTTTCGGAGAGAGGTGTGGTTGGGCCTACAGGGCCGATGAGTTGGCCTACGGTGAGGGTGGAATAGAGGAGTAGGAGGAATGGGCGCATTATTGGTGGTTTGGGTCTTGGTGCTGGGCCTCGTGCAATGGGAGATTGTTGTCGGCTCTGGGGGGCGAGTTTTATAGTTGTGGATTGTTTTTACATTATTAATTGATATTAAGATAGTTACTATATCTCAAAGTACTATACACGAATTGCGACATGGGACTGTGGTTTGAAGTATTCGGAGCATACTCTGATTCCGTGTTAGGGCTACACTTGCTATTTTGCTACAAGTCTATGCAGCAATACCCTCGGGGACGTATTTACCGAGAATCTAGAGAAAATAACCGATATCCGACCTAAGATCCTTCCAAATATGACATGAGGATATTATCCAACCTATTCAGGGCACCAGGACAGGTTGTCGTGATTTTAGAGTCGATCAAGCCATCACTTTAATATAAGTCTCATGCAGGAAGATAAGAGCACGTGGATTGCGACATGGATGACAATATGGTGCCAGTTAAGCTAAAGCTTGAATAATTAATCTAACAGATGCAGAAGCTTGTCCAATTTAACCGTTATCTCGCAGTGTCAATGGGATATTTGTTGCTTATGCTAAGCTATCTTGCCTGAGCTCATACGCGAGGAAATGAGATCATTTTCAGCAGAAGCTGTCCTGTGGATGGAGAAATTTTGGATATGATGGACAATTTGAAATGACTCAATTATCCTGATATGAAAAATGAAGCAATACAATAGATTAACTTGCGGTAATTGATTCCACATTCGTTCTTCCTGATCGAAGCATACCAAATATCAATATGACTTGGTTAACTTGCAATTAGAAAGTACGGTAGCATCTAGAAGCAATAATGCATATGATCCCATTGCCTACTCTAAATATTCTAATTTAGTTACTCTTCTCACTCTCCTGCTGCAACACCTCCTTCCGGGTCTTAGACTCAGGATCAAAATAGGGCTTTTCGGCCTGTGGAGCAACCCGTAAGCCATGTCTCAAATGAGGAACTGCACATAGAATTAGTAAAACCCCAAAAAGTAGAACAACAAACCTGTCTGCAACACTTACAGTAGTCAAAGATACCCGTGTGGAAAGTAGCCCGGTTATCCCAAATAGCGACAGCGTTCTTGGTCCACTTCCATCGGACCTGGAACTCGTAGCCCTCAGCGACAGTCCGGTACAGAGCATCAAGGATGCCATCCCCCACTCTCTTCTCGAGACCGATGATCTCCTTGGTGAAATTCTCGTTGACATACAGCGTCTTCCACTTTGTAACGGGGTGTGTACGAACGACAGGATGCTGGTGATGTGAGCTTTATGTTAGGTTATTGAATAGCCAACACTGATGTGATAACCTACAATGGTCTCAATAGGATCCCTTCTCAAGCAACCATTCGTCCGGAGCGCCTTTTCCGCTTGCTCGAGACCGCTATGCTTAGCTTCTAGAGTTTCAAGCAAAGACCTCAACTTAGGCGAGAGAGCTGCCAACCAATCCATTAGCCCTAACCCCTCCAACCCCCTTCTTCACAAGACAAGGGAAAAAAGAAAGAAAAAAGAACTCACATTCATACAAAGCATACCCACTAGCCCAAATAGTATCCCCGCCAGCCAACCCCCCGTCCGGTCCGGCATTCGGCAAAGTATCCATCTTCAAAAGCGTCAATCCAGGCGGCTGAATCTCATAACTCACATCCGAATGCCAAATCTGATGCGACCTCCCATTCACCGCCGTCTCATCCTTGTAGATTGGATGCACCCAGGGCAAATCCGGGATAATCCCGGCCATCTGATGAATATGCAGATCCCCAAAGTAGGCCCCGAAGGCGATCTGCTCGTGCACATCCAGGTCCTGGTCGCGAAAGAACACGACGCCCCGTTCGGCAACTAGCCTTGCGAGATCGTCTTTCTGCTCGTCTGTGAGGTCCTTCAGCTGGAGGCCAGCGAGCTCGGTGCCGATTTCGGGGGTCAGGTGCGTGATGGCCGTGGCGGCTTTCAGGAGACGGGATTTGGTCGGGTCAGCCGATAGGCCACGGTCTGTGAAGGGGGTTTCGGTGAGGTTGGGGAGCTTGAAGGGGGTGTAGTTTGGGTATTGGAGGCCAGCAGCGCGGACAGACTGGAGGGGAGAGACGCCACGGGGGGTTTGATACTCTGGGTGTGGGAGGTTTGGGGGACGTTCGGGGAGGGTGAGTTGGGGTTCGGGGGCTGGCATCTTGAGAAAAACTTTGGGAGGACTCTTTAGGGTAGGAAGAGAGGACCTCTGCTTATGGTCTTGTGGGTTATTCGAGATAGATTAAGTATTTCCTCTATGCTTGTGTCTCGCCGTGTGTAGTGTCCTTGCATTTTTAATATATCCTAGAACTAAATTGAGGTATTGCCATTATTGGTGGGCTTACTATGCTCTCGCGTCATTATAGCTACATTGATGCTATGCCATCAGACAGGGAATCATTGGATATTGCCTAAAGCTAGTAAGAAGGTGCTGTTCTAATACAGTCGACTCATCTGACTCTAGTGGCAGGGTTATCTATCCTAAAGTTCATCCCAGCTTCGCTACCCTCTGCAGTCCACATCTAACTATCGAATAGAAAATCCAGCCTCTTGTTACCTTGATCACTAGTAGTCTCAAGATAGTGAGCCTTCTGCTCCGTCGTCATTGCATCCCATTTGGCGCGTTTCCACTTATTTCTCGCCACGTAGTAGAGCTTTGCCAGCACGTATGCTACAATAGTCGCTACGTTGATGGCAATTAGCTGCGAGTTTCCCCGATGGTAGTATGGCTTATCATCTTCGCGGTAAATATTTGAAGACGCAATCCCGGAAAGCTGAATGGTGATGTTATAGAGAGCAGCGCTGACAGCCCTCGTTCGGACCGCATTGCTTAGCCGAGAACACCACCCGACTTGTGCAGCGTGGATAGACGGCCAGCCAAGCAGGACAAAAGTAACCGCGTAGAGCCCCCAGTGAGATAGCGTACTAGCCGAGGTATACAGAACAATCAGGAGAGGAAGAGACCAGAGTTGGGTCAGAATCCCGAATATGGAGATCTGTTTGAACCGTTCAGATAACTCGGTGATGACCAACAGGTTTATTGCTGCGAAAACGGTCACCGGTATGCCCAGTAAGGTAGTTTGGAAGGTGCTGAACCCGATGGCCTTCAGCGATAAGCTGAGATATGTCTTTGGTGGCGAGGTAGGAATTTCGAACAGGATACCGATGGTGTAGACTGGCCAGAGATCATAGTCCTTCAAACTCTGCCAAAGCATCTTCAAGCTCAACGCCTGACGATTATGCATATCCCCCTTTGATGGGTCATCACGCAGGACCCGGTTGACGATGATCTTCTCTTCTCGCTCGGTGAAGTATCCCTTGCGATTCCACCATGTTGCTGTCTGCGTGGGGCCTGGAACGAGAAACAAGAAACTCAAGAACCCAATCACTATACTTATCAGGGCTTCGATAAGAAAGAGCCATCTCCATCCTTCGCGGCCTTGTACGCCACGCATATGCAAGACACCGTAGGCGATGAATGAGGCGATCACCCCGGACATTGAGTCAACAAACCAAAACCACGCCAAGCGTACGGGCATCTCGGTTTTCTTGTAAAAATATGAGAGGTACAGGATCGCGTCTGGAATGAAACCCCCCATGAAGAACCCTAGGAAGAACCGACAGGCAAAGAATCCTGCTCTGTTATGCATAAAGAACTGCCCACCGGATGCCAAACTCCATAGAATAATCTGAATGGGAATCCATCGGTCCGGGCCAATCCTTTTGCCGATCATTTGCGAAGGAATCTCAGCAATCAAAAAGCCGATTCGATACATGTTTTGCGCGTTATTGTAGTCGTTGGTGTTGATGTTCAAGTCCGGCAACAGATTATCAGCAGCAGCATTTCCTAGGTTACCCCGATCAATGTTGAGCCCAAAGAACATAACCAGGATCCAAAGGAAAATCTTCAGATCTGTTTTCCGGCGCACCGATCTCTCCTCGCGGTAGGTCCATCTTTCAGAAGGGTCAAATCGATGTAAATTCTCGTATTGCGGATGAGGCTGGTAATATTTGGCTAGGTTCGAATCATCGAACACACTCCTCGTAGTAGCAATAGTATCGAGGTCGACCGACTTTTTCTTGGAGTAGAAGATGGACAGGAAGGTACTGTATTCAGGTGCATCTTCTGGCTCGACAAGATTGATATGTGTTCCGTCTTTCGCCACTTCAGTGCTCTGGATATCCCCGGTCTTATGTTGGTTAAGTTGGGGGCTTCCTAGCCGATTTTTATCGTTCAAATGACTTGAATCCGATGTAGCTGACATCTTAGTAGTTTCCTTAGACCGAGATCAGTAGATACAGTCCCAAAGAGAACCGGTACAGGCTCAGCGTAAAGCAAACGAAGACTGGTTGACCGCATTATACCAGCAGGGAACGTATCGGTTATATAATATGGCTAACATCGTCTGTGATGCTTTTCCTCCGTCGTACTTTTCGGCAATAGTCATTAAGAATGGAGTGCTCCCAGAGCTCGATGGTGCAATTGGCGAAGTGCTGTCCCGGTAAGCCAGATGATAATAGTATCAAACAGATCTAGCCTGAGCGCTCATGCCAAAATGACAGGCAACGGCTAATAACGAGGGATAGAAAATAAAATGTGAACTAAACAACGGCTAGGTGTAGGAAATTGCGGTTAGTATTGCTCGTCATGTAAGTGCGTATGGCATCAGCGCTCACCAGATTGTTACCATAGCCCGACACCTCCACCTCAACGCTTAGTGCAAATTGGCTCTATGAATCAACCAGTAGCTGATTTTCGCAAGATTTCTTGATAAGCTTCCAGTTTATGGTTGGTGGATAAATTGAACACATTGGGAACCCTCTTTCGACAATGGGTCGATGGCTCATCTAGAAGACAAAAAGATATTACCCTTCAAATTGGCTAACCACCCTAGACAACTGAGAGTGACGGCCGCCCAGGGCTATATCGTAACACGTTACTCGAGAGCGATATAGCATAATATGTCGACGAATAACAAAGGTGTCAAACTCCGATGCCTTGAACGGCATTATATTAAACATAACTTTAGTGCGACTGTTGGCGTCCCCTGGCCCCGTGGGAAGTATTGGCCTGACAGAACCACGTTCACTTGTTCTAATCATATGAATGGATCCATCGCTTTACAATCATGGGTAATCGCGTACTGGCCAGATGGGTCAATCAAATGGACCGCGCATGCCTTCGCGGCCGACACCGACGTGGCTAGCAGCTATTCAGTGGAAGCAATCCCAACGACGCCTAACCACCTTGAGTCTGTTAGCACAGGTATTTTGATAAAGCAGGATACATGTACAGGATCCATAGAGGTTGACACTGGCAAGGTCCGCGTGGTCTTTCCTACCACCGGCTCGGAGTTAATCAAGAGTATCGTCTTGAATAATGGGACGACAATTGGCCAAAATGGCCGACTGGTATTGAGCTCAAAAGCATCGCTTCCAACGGAGACAGAAAACTCAGATAACCACCAATTTCTGAGCAGCATTGAAAATGTAAACATTGACCAGGAAGGCCCCATAAGGGCTCTATTGACCGTGCGCGGAAACCACCGTGCGGTTGATACTGACAGTCGCCCACAATCACCATGGCTCCCTTTCATTGTGCGATTTTATCTATATTATAATTCAGATTCCATCCGGATTGTCCATACAATCACGTATGATGGGGATCCACAAACGAGCTTCATTAGCGGCATCGGTATTCAGTTTGATGTTCCGTTGAAAGATGAACTACCTTGCAACCGGCACGTCCGTTTTGCAGGTGTTGATGATGGCGTTTTTGGGGAGGCCGTACAGGGTGTTACCGGTCTTCGCAGAAATCCAGGATTGAGTGTCCGCACGGCTCAGATTAACGGCGAATCTCTTCCTCCTATTGGTACCTGGCTTGACGAGGTTGGAGATTATATGAAGTGGGTGCCATGCTGGAAAGATTACAGCCTTTCCCAACTATCACCAGACGGATATACTATGAAGAAAAGAACTGCAGCAGGGCACAGCTGGGTCAATATTCCTGGCGGTACTCAAGCTGGTGGGCTTGGATACCTTGGCGGTGCAACTCGAGGAGGTCTAGGGCTAGGAATGCGTTATTTTTGGGAACGATACCCGACCGGCTTAGATATTCGAAATGCCACCGAAGCCACTGGAGAAATCACGCTGTTGTTGTACAGTCCATCCGCAGAAGCAATGGATCTCCGCCCATATCACGACGGACTGGGCCAAGAAACCTACGACGAGGAGCTTGATGCCCTGCGTATCACATATGAAGACTGGGAGCATGGGGTAGGAACGCCTTTTGGAATTGCACGGACGAACGAGATCTTTCTTTTCGCCTTTGATCATACCCCCACGTCTGCACAGCTAAGCAGTTCGGTACAGTATATGCGGAACCCACCGGTGGTGATTCCAGACCCTGAGTATATCCTAGAAACAGGCGTATTAGGCACATTTTGGTCAAGGAGTGTCCCCACAGAGAATACAACCCCGGCAGAAGCGGAAATTAACCGAAACCTTGACTTTCTGTTCGAGTTTTACAAGACACAGATATCTCAGCGCCGATGGTACGGCTTCTGGGATCATGGGGACATCATGCACACTTATGACGGAGACCGCCACTCCTGGTGCTATGATATAGGTGGCTATGCCTGGGACAACTCCGAACTCTCTCCTGACTTGTTCTTCTGGTTATACTTTTTGCGGACGAGCAGGAAGGACGTGTACCGCCTGGCTGAAGCCCTTACCAGGCACACGGGGGAGGTGGACGTGTACCATATCGGGCCATGGAAGGGGCTTGGAACACGACACGGAGTCCAGCATTGGAGCGATAGTTGTAAGCAGGCTCGCATATCGAACGCCCTGTATAGATGGATCTTCTTTTACCTCACGGGAGGCGATGAGCGCACTGGCGAGCTGCTAGACGAGACACTGCATTCAGAAAAGACTTTCTTAGCTCTAGACCCATACCGTAAGGTGCGAAGGGACAAAGCGTCTTATAAGCCTACCGTTGAAGCTGTGTCCATCTCGTTGGGAACCGATTGGTCCGCCTTTGCAGCAGCATGGTTCATCTCCTGGGAGAGACGAGCACCCGGTTGGGAGGAGGCGAAAAGCAAATTGTTATCGTCCATGGCCGGCATATCTCAGCTCCACAATGGCTTTGTGACTGGGATGGCTCTTTACGACACCCAGACAGGGCAAATCCATCCTCCCTCTCACGATTTAGCAAACCAAGGAGTCGTCCAAATCTCCCATCTTTCCGCCATGTTCGGCCTGTTTGAGATCTGCGCGGTGCTTGTCAATTGCCTAGGAAGTGATTTACCGAGCGGTTTTGAGAAAGCATGGGTTGATTATTGTCTTTATTTCAATTCCACCGCAGAGGAACAGTCACAGCGGTACGGAGTAGGTTTTGGAAATCTGATATTGCGCCAGGGACATTCTCGTTTGACAGCATATGCGGCCAATAGGCTTGAAGATTCGGTTTTAGGGCAACGTTCCTGGAAGGAGTTCTATAATGGTGATGGTTATGCGCCAGATTTGCCATGGGTCAGCCGGTCGGTAACTGGATGTCTCGTCCCAGTGAATGTTGAGGAAGCGAACTGGATATCAACCAATCTTTCGTCGCTTTATGGTCTGGCGGCGATCCAGAATCTTGCTCTGGTGAGAAGAGCTTTGGCTTAGCACTGACAGTTTTTGGAGTTCTATAGCCGTCGTTTGGTGCTACATTTATAGCTAGTCGTTGTTCTATCGTAAAGTGCAGACGGTAATACATTTGCAAAATCGCCGTAATTAGTTCGAGCCAGACTTACAGTCTCTATATGTAACTGGAAAGACTTCAGGCGAAACTGCGGGGCTGTTGTGTTGGACGAATACGGACGTTTGAATGACAGTTGAAGGAGACGAAAACTGGCAAGTTGACCTTGGTTTAATACCCCGGTAACAAGGCCGGATAAATAGCGATAACAAGTATTTTAGCCATCTTAGTTCCTATAGTTACGCCACTAATATTAATAGTTTCTCAATCAAGTATTCCATGTAGAACGTAAGATCCTCAAATAGATATATTTTATATGGGAGTGCAGGGATCGAATAAAAACAAAGAGTTCAGCGCTGTCCATTTGCTGAGAAGCAGGTCCGAACCCCTCGTTGCAAACTCCCATACCTCAAGAAGAATAAATCAACTCTTCCAATCGATTCCTGGCATGGACTAGGACGAACACGCCCAGAATTCTCACTTCAATGAGTCTCTTTCCTGGGCCAGTCGATTTAATAATGTTCGTGGCCCTCCTACAGCGGCCTGGGTTTCGACGTTTCGAAACAATCGGCCCTCAGAGGTTGTCGGCGATAACTGCGGATCATTCAATTGGAGCTGCAAAGTGAGATTCGATGTTGGTATACAATGGATGGTACGGTTTGCGGTGCCTGGTAGAGTAATGAATGGCGATGAAAAGATCTGTCATGAGGCTGCCACGATGCAATTTATCAAAGACAAGACGAATATCCCTGTACCGTCGATCATAGCATGGGGACTCAGTGATGAGAACCCGCTAGGTCTGGGAGCATTCATCATTATGGAGTTCATTGAGGGAGGAGATCGATAATAAGGAGGCGGAATTCCAGGCACTTAAGGAAAGAGTGGAAAGAGAGGAGATAGAGGAGGGAGGCTCTGACATATAGATCGTGGCATATATAGAGAACCAGCCCTTCATTCCTTTTGGTGGATTCCTAATTCAACAATTTCGCGCAGTTTGATGGATGGGAATGATAGGTTTCTGGCTGTGTAAGATAAGCCAGGATGGATGTTCGTTGGAAATCAATAAAACTGCAAAAGAAATTGGGAAAACGTTTTGAACTTTTTATTTTTCTTTTGATGTTTGAATTTACAGTTCCAAGTTCTTATGAATATATCTACCCAGTCCCTGCGCCCCAGTTACCATACCCAATGCCTTTTTACCCCATAACGCCGAAACCAACCAAAGTCACAGAAATATCAGCAAAAGGTGTAGATGGAGTATTACTGCTCTCCTCCATCACTACCCCCAGAGGCCATTAACTGGAAACCCTTGACCAAACCCATAGCAGATCCCGCTGCAACACCGCCAACCAAGACCATTTGTAAACCACCTATGAGTCCGCGTCGAACATTCCGACTGCCCTTCCAACCGCTTACGAAACAAGTTTTGCCATATCCGAACAGGAACAGCGCCACGACCATAGTAGCGATAGACCAACGCAGCGCAATGAAAGCATCATTGGGCCCAACAAAAAAGTAAGGGAGTAGCGGGATGAAGCCACCGATGAAATAGCCCAGGGCGATTGTCAGAGCGCAGATAAAGGCGCGTGATCCGGAAGGTTCTTGAAGGGTATGATGGAAATTCATGAGAAAGGATGGTAGCATCGGGGAGGTCGAAAGATGTCTTGTGAGTTCGGAGACGAGGTGGGGAGGAAGGTCGTAGGGCGCGAAGATATCGGAAATTGTGTCAGTCACCCCGGATGGATCCGTCATAGTTTGGCTTTCAGTCTCTTTTAGTGTGGCGCGGTAGGATTCCCTACACAGACATATTAATGAAAGCGGCCTTTCAGATCATGCTGGTTCTACTTACTCCTCGCTTTTTGCTCCCAAATATCCTCCTAGACCCATGGATATGGCACCCGCAATGAGTTCGGCCATTCCACCGAATACCACGACTTTTGTGTCTCCCAACGCAGACAGCCCAGCAGTCAATGCAAAGGGCACCGTCATACCGTCGGAAAGACCGATGATGGCATCTGACACCAGTCGACCGTCGATGACTTTCGAGTCCGCTTTCTCCGTTTTTGGCCGACTAAACTTTGCCTCGTCGGCTGAAGACTCAAGGTCGCTCGACGATTCATTTCGAAGGGGCAATTGGTATTCCTTCTCCAAGTCCGGCGAGAATTCCGAGACGGGGGAGTAGCTGGAGAGGAGTCCCCGGATGGAAGAAATCGACATGGTCGTATGGTGGTGTGTGACGACCTCGAATATTAGGATTATGTACAGTGCGTACTTTTCGAAGAGAGTCAAGTGATGTCGGGAACACTGAGGGGAAGACGGGTTTATATAATTATGTAGGTAAAAATGCTCTATTCCTAGTGGATCGCACTATTCTCTAGTGTCACAGTGAAGCATCAGCGACAGAGTACCTCCGATCAGGAGCGAGAGAATCTGATCAAATGAGAGTACCACGGGACATATACCCCAGTAACAAGCATTGAAGGTATGCTCCACCGCGAGTGGGAATTGTGCACATTTGAGAAGAGCTTGTGCCGACTCGCTCCAGTGTCACCTGCCACAGAGCCTATTAAGGGAGAATGACCAACAACGTGCGTGAAGTGAAGAGGCGGTCATTTGCCTCAAATGAGGGGATCTCTTGGCACGTGGGGACGTGATTCGTCCAAATCCCCAGAGGAAGCCGGTGGGGTGCCTGGAAAGCTTGGACTCAGGCAGCTATCCCACATCAGGCTTAGTCCTCCCTTCGCCAGGGCCCATCGGAGCAGTACCTTGGGCCTATCATATTGGAGACATATCTAACCTCTGGATTCTGGCTGATCCACAGCAGAACAATTAGTCTGATCGCTGACCGAGGGTACCACAGCGCAACGGATACCGACGTGAGACGGAACCTGTCCTTACATCCTGCATGTTCATCATTACAGATGCTACTGACTACTAGTCCGATGGAGTACTGAGTTCTTGCAACATACTCGATCGAGCATCAGAGAATTCCAAAGGGACACATTGCATTATTGACGCGGTGGTACCCCACTAATATACTCGCTAGTGCAATAGTTCTCGTTTTTGACGCAAGGGTCCGTCCGCTCTATCCCGTTTCCGCAACTCCTCGCACGACCTTCGGAGACCGCCGTAGCACTCTTCCACTTGATCAACATATTACAGTGATGTCTCACATGGCATGGATTGGCTGCAGCTGGTCTTTCCTGATGATTCCTCCTACCGAGATTTCTGTTGGGGAATAGATCCTGACAATGAAAGGTGGATCGTCCTTTTTTGCTCTGGAATGTGACGCCCTACAGGTGGGCGCGACTCAATACCATGCGGTATGGGGAATAAATATCGCGCGTCGAGCCCTGCGATAGGGCTTGCGATGTTGAGAAACGAACGACGAGATGCAATGGACTTGGTTGATCCTAGCACTAGCAACAGTTACTTCAGCTCTACCTCATGAAGCCCACAAAGATGTCTGGGGCCGGCTTCGGTCAAACGTACGTTGATCATCTCTGTCTCCAGGACCAAACGAAAATTAATTTATTAGATCAAACATGTAGTCTACTTGATGATGGAAAACCATTCCTTTTCCAACATCGCCGGATATTGGGACTTTCATCCAGATATTGACAACCTACGCAATAGGAAATACTGCAACGAATACACTAACCCCAACTGGACAGTTTGGGACGAGCCTCTTGATATATGCGCCGGGCCCTATGAGACGGAAGTGCCATTGGAAGATCCGGATCACGAGTTCGCCGGGGTGACATATCAAATCTACCGGAAATGGAATGCAACAAATGACGATGTCCCTAACATCGGGGGCTTTATCGAACGCCAGTCAGAGAAATACCATGCGACCCCAGGAGAGTCGGCGTTTGTCATCAAGGCTTATGATGAGAAGAAATCCTCGACTCTTGCTGAGATTGCCCAGAATTTCGCGTTTTGGGATTCCTATGTGAGGACATTGCGCAACCTACATACACTGGTGGACGTGGCTGACGGAACAGTTTGCGGAACACCCTGGACCTACCAACCCGAACCGTCAATTTGCTACCTCAGGCTCGACCTGTGGATACGTGGACAATACAGACCAAGCCGCCGGGTTCTTCAACAACGTAACCGGCACTACTTGTGCGACTTCAATCTTCGAATCGCTTAGCAACAAGAATATCAGTTGGAAAAATGTACTACGATTCACTATTTTCAGGTCTTCAATAGCTAATGCTGTTCCAGTACTATGAAACCGATATTATTGATGGGTGGATGTACAAGGTAGGAAAATGCCATCTACTATAATGTACAAAAGCCAGCTAACCGTCCACAGTGGGTCCAAGACAATGCGATAGACAATTTGGCCCACGCCAGTGACTTCTACCGTGATCTGGAGGAAGGCACATTGCCAGCATTTTCTTATATCAACCCTGAATGTTGCAGCATAGATTCGATGCACCCGAAGAGCAACATGGCAGCGGGTGAGCAAATGATCAAGCACCTGTACGATGCAGTTCGGAGATCCAAATATTGGGATAATGTGTACGACTCAATTACATGTGTCGTTTCGAATGTCATAACTAACCAACTGTATAGTTTGATCATCATCAACTTCGACGAGCACGGAGGCTTTGCGGACTATGTGCCGCCGCCCGTCAACGTTCCGCAGCCTGAAGATGGCATCGGGTTCGATGGAGAATCAGAAGGCCGCCCCGTTAAGTATGACTTCACTCGTCTTGGAGTGCGCGTTCCTGCGTTCATTATCTCGCCATATATCGAACCGAACACCCTCATCCACAACGACGGCACCATGTACGCCAACAACTCCGCGTACACCCACACATCCATGCTGCACTTCCTGCAGGAGCTCTGGGAACTGGAGGGCCTCAATAATCGCGTGCAGTGGGCCAAGACCTTCGAGCATGTCTTCTCCAACACCAAGCGCGAGGACACGCCAGAGACTCTCCGCAAACCTGTATGGTACGGCGATAGTTGGGAGCCAAAGCCCGAGCCGTTCTACCTGTTGAATCAGGACGAGAGCTACTACGCGAACCGGCCATGGTCATGAGATATGTCAGTGGTATTCGCTTCAATTGTATTCATAAACGTTTTCTTCGTTCATACATCGTATCATCATGGCCAAGAAATGATAGAATAAAATAGAAATGACATGAAACTGGCAAGAGCGAAGATCATAAAAGAGTAAAATCATTCTGAGGTGATTCACACCAAAGGATGGGTATCACAACAGAAGGCATGAATGATATAAAATCACGATGTCGGTATAATCAAGCCCACAAACACCTGAAAGCATGTGCGTGCGCCTCAAGAAAAAGGCAAGGAAAATCTACTTCGACCACCTAAATCCACTACCCGTCAGCAAAGACCTTCAATCAAAACCCCAAAGAATAGAGAATAGAACTAATACATACCCTCTCCTCCTCTCCGCCTCCTGTACCTCCGCCGCCGGCTGCGTCATATTCCACAACCGACTCTTATAAGCAGGAAACGAAGTATGATTCCACATATTCACCAGAACACTATCCCACGATTAGCAACCAAGGACCAAAGAAATCAACCCCAGAAAATAAGGGGTAAGGGAAAAAAAAGAAAGAAAAAAAAAAAAAAAAAAAAAAAAAAAAAAACAAAAAAAAAAAAAGAAAAAAAAAAAAAAAAAAAAAAAAAAAAAAAAAAAAAAAAGGAAAAAACAAACCTCTGGGTCCGATCCTGATAATCCTCATTATTTATCTCCTTCACTCCGACCTTCATGCCGTCCTTCGTCCATACCACATTCTTCTTTTCCATCTTGGACTTCGTGTTGCGCGTTACTTCTTGCACGATCGACCAGGTGATGTACCCGATTACGGCGAGAACGGTCACGACGACCACGAGGACGATGAGGGGGACGAGGCTGCCGCGGGCCATATTCTTTCTTTTTTCTTTCTTTATTCTCGGGTTGGGTTGTGATTTGGTTGGTTGTTTTGGAATGCGATCGATTGGGTAACTTGTGTAGGCAGAGTATTCACGGCAGTGACTTGAACGAGAAAAGCAGGATAAGACGAAATGGTTCGTCCGCCTTCTTAAATCAAATAAGGCGTAGGGCTGAGCGGGAGGGAAAGAGTGGATCAGGTGCAGTGGCGGCGTGGCTTAAGAACCAAAAAAGATTGAATCGTGACCTTGGGATGGTGCCTTGCGATGCACTATTTATAAGTCTGGGGTTCTCGTTTCGAGGGTAAAGAAATAGAACAAGGGCCCAAAACAAAAAAAAAAAAAAAAAAAAAAAAAAAAAAAAAAAAAAAAAAAAAAAAAAAAAAAAAAAAAAAAAATACCCCCCCAAGGTGACAAATCAGAAAAATAAAGAAAAATTCAAGGAATGGGAGAGACTGAACGAAACAGTAGCCAAATGCCTTTGCGAATTGCCAAGCGTTGGCAAGCGGGGCGGGGTTAAAATTTGAATATGAAGAATATTGATGCCTACTTTTAGCGCTCATTTTTTGCTCCTGTCCTGTTCTCGTTTGGGTGTGCCGAGGTTGTCATGTTTACAGTGAGTTTACTTGTCATCTTTGTCAGGGCGCCTGGTTGAGGGATTTGATTGCCATTGGATCGTTGATTAGGCACTTGCATTGGATTGTGGGAGTGGCTGTGTTGGTGTTCTTGATCGTGTGTGGCTTGTGAGGTTACTAGTCTTGGTTCTAGATTTCATGTCATTTAATTGACACTGACACTGAAGAAGCCAAGCCGCGAGTCTTTTTATATCTACTTTAATGTAGAAGCCTAAATTTTGTTATTCCCTTTCGATTTCTTTTCAATCATGAAGTCTAACTTACCCTCCTCTACGTTGCAGTAAGAAAGATTCTAATAATTTGATCTGAGTAGCCTGGTTAAATCTTTTCCTAGTTAGAGAATTAGCAAGAAGAGCCCACCGAAAATGCATTTCTCCCACTTTCTTCTAGTATTACAAGTCGACCATAAGTTCCCTGTGTATATTCTTATTCCACACGGCACCAAAATGGCTGATGAATTTGATGAAGTGAAACCTTCTGATGTGACATTCCTCTAAACGCTGAAAGAGCCTAGGAATTTTGCTGTTTTCAAGGTTAATGTTCGCGGAAGATTCTGGGTGATGAAGGTGGTGAGTGAGTTCTATATATTACTAATGCCTTGCTAACCTACTTAAGTATCTCGACAAAGGCCCATTTGAATGGGATCCCCCGGAATATGAAGGGAATCTCTTCGTTTGCGAATCTTGCGCATATTAGCGGATAAAAGCAAAGGGCTCTTGATTCCCCGCGCTCTAATCAGCAAGACGCGACTATACAGATCGATATTGGCTTTGACGAGGCAATAATCAAGGCTGTGTTCCCAAATGCCTGGGAAAGGCGCGGTTTAGTTCACGGAAGAGGATCATTGAAGCAGTACAACAACCGGGCAGTGGATCCTTCCGCATATCATCGTAAGTAGAGTTGTCGAATCATGGATTTATACACATATGCTTATTCATAATGCCTAGATGATAATGCATGCTTTACATTTCAAGGGGCATCTGTGCCAGAAAGCCCCAAAATCCTTGGACCTTATATCCATCGAGCAATCGAAGGGAGCCAGCTCCGAAGATGGGAGACTAATAATTCTCTCCCCAAGACAACGGATTGCATAAGCTTGGATCTAAATCGAAGCGAACCTTTCGAAGGCATGATATGTTTTCGTGTTGAATCGTCTCAAGTTCTTTTCATGGCGACCAGGCTCTACTTATTTTATGGTTGACCGCACTATGCAAACCGGTGTTTTCCTTTCCGAATCATGACAGATACTTGTTTTGGAAGTCCATCTATGAAGCCACTCCCCTTTATTGCCCATATCTTGTCTCCCTTTCCATCATGGAAAATGATCTCCTCGCATTCAAAGTAATATAGTTCTCGCTCATAATTTTCCTGCGCGATATAGTTGATCGGGTGACGGATACAGACATCGAAAAACTCCGGGTCGACGTCTTCCTTCCAGCGACCCCGCTGTGAGTCCGTGTAATGTGCCGCAGTGTGGTTGCTTGTAAGGAAAGGATTGGCTTAACTTGATTCTCTATTCGGTTTGTTGTAGTCGTTGTTGAAATATATTCTCGAACGTCTTCCAGCTATCCCACTATTGTTTTGAAAAGGAGGGGTAAAGATGCCCAGGGGCGGAAGGGCAAGGTCGACTCTGAACCATTGGTCTCTATTGCTGAGATAATCTATACCATTTTGTTTTTAATTTGCCTTGTTTTCTAAGCTAACTATATTAAAAGCTGACAGGGACTAATACCCAGAACTTAGTATCTATACGAGATGTAACTTGATGAACCAAAGTCGGGATGAAACGTCTTTTGAGTAAACCCCTTCCCATTTCACATCAATACCCCTAGACAGGGGGGAAGTGAGATGAACCATTTACGAAGCACCATCACTTGCCTTGAAGGCTCAGAAGAAAAGAGAAAGAATATGTTGTTGTGACATCAGTTTCCAAACACCATGTAGAATTGAAGGACAAAGGATCAAAAAGGCAGAGAAAACGGAGTGGTCTTCTTACTGATGAAGATGTTGGATCTAAGGTTACATGCCAACCACTGTCGTCATCATGAATCATTCCTCAAGCACCAGTACTCGTAGTAGAAGTAGTCAGTAGTAGAAAACCATCATCTACACCCTTCAGCAAGAAAAGAAAACCCAATTCATACTCCGATAATCTTACGATAAACCGATCCTAATCATGTGCGACGTCCCTTTCCTCCCGATCTTCCCTATTTGCTTCCAATGCGGCACGGACCAGAACCCCTGTCGCTGTAAAGTCCTCGGTCCAACATTAGGTATAGACTAATATTGTTATATCCTCTGCTATACATGTACCAGGATTAATGGTTAATGAATGGTCTAGGGTTCTGTGTGACGATTGTTGCGGCGGTATGTACCGTACCCATTCGTATCTGTATTGGTTGGTTTCCGATGGAATATGAGTACTGATGCACTGGGTGCAGATTGTTTGTTATCCTGCGTCTATCTTTTGTGGCTGTTGTTTGACGAAGACAGGAAAGGAGTGAGTTTGCTCTTTTTTTCTTTTTCTTTTTCTTTTTCTTTTTCTTTTTTCGTCCTGTCTTTACCGTGGTGGGTTTTCTTGAGGGATGGTTCCCACTGACTTGCTACTTACAGTATGCTGGGCTATCCAGTTACGTTGAATCAAAAAGTCAGTGAGGCTATACCCATTTGATAGGAGCTGAGTGTAGACTATAATTTTAATGACTTGAATGGGAAGCGATTCCTTAGTACGATGAACGACAATCAATCTTGAACACTAGTCTTAAATTATACTATTACTCGTAACAATAACTGTGCACAGCAGAGTAGGTATAAAGTCATACGGGCAAAACAACAAAACACAAAGGTATCCATCCAGACCAAGAATCAAGCAACACCTCCGCCCACCAGTCTTGAAATATTCAGGCTGCCGGCTCATGATCGTAACTGTAATAATAACGAATCGTTCCAGGGTACGGGCCAAGAGTGTACGGTTGGCCATCAGGGTATGAGCTCAGGTGAGCTTCTCCTTGAGCTTATGGAAGAATGCACTAGCGCGGTTCCTCTTTTTCTTCTGAGATGGGGTACCACTCGAAGATCCAGAATCCTTGCGATCCGTGTCCTTGGGTGGAGTACTCGGTTTCCCCACGCCGGTATCCTGAGGATGTGTCGGCTCGGCGGTCTTGGTCGCACTCGCTCCGGTATCACCAGCCGTTGCGGCAGCTGTGCCACTGCCAGGTCCCGACACCTCAGATGTCTTGGTGGTCTCAGGCCCAGTCGTAACGGTCGGGCCCGCTTCGGAAGTCGTTTCAGGCCTCGTTGGAGTTGTCGCCCGCGGCGATAGCTGTGCCGAGTCAGGCTGTGGTAGGGTGGCTTGGGGGGCAGTTTCAATGGCTGCAGCAGTGACACCAGTGGTGGGCGCTGGTGTGCCTCTCGATTCATCAATCGGGACTTTCTGCTGAAGTTCATGCTCCATCTCTTTCTTCTCTCCGACAGCCTCCTGAACAGCAGCTGCTTCAGGATCTGCGTGAGCCTCGGACATTGAGTGCCTCACCATTTCCGGAACATCGCCCACAGGTGCGCCAGTGACACTATCGGTCTGTCTCTTGTGAGACTCAAGGGGAACAGCACCAGCAAGAGCTGCAGTAGTAGATGTCGGCGCTGCGGACTGAATAGTGACAGGGTCGGAAGTCCCCTGGCTGGCCTCGCCCATGGGAAGGCTAGATTCAGGGATCATATTATTCGAGACCGGGGGAACAGCAAATGCGCTTGTATCTTTAGACTGGCCCCCATTCAATGGATGGCTGGCATCCTGTTCGTAGCTGGCTTGGTCTGTCCGGGCGGTAGAGTGGATTGTGTTGTCATTGAATGTGCTCGGGTCAGGCACCTTCTCTCCTGGCTTTAGTTTGATTGGGTTGCCCATGCCACTCGAGGCGGGGATGGGATTCACCGAGAACTGTTCCACCTCCGATCGTGGGGTTGCTGGGAACGTCCCAGGGACATTCGCTCGCTGCTCGAGAGGGGCATGTTTGGCGAGCTCTGTCGTAGTCGATCCAGGAGCGGCAGACGACAAGGCAGCATCGCTCAGGATATCCTTGCGAGACTCTTTGGGAACTTCGGCAGCCAATGCAGCCGTTGTAGAATCAGGGGCTACGCCAGCCATTACTGCAGTGCCGTTTTGCAACTTCGAGGTGGTGTCTTTTTGCCGAATCTGATCTGGATAAAGCACGTTGTTGATGTTATGGTTACCGTCGTCTTCTTCCGGAACACTGTGGTCGGTTGTCCAGATGCCGTCAACAACAAACTTAGATAGAGGACGTTAGTGGATCCCATGCAACGACATGCTGACGTGAAAGATGAGATTCTTTATAGCATTTTCTAGAGCGGGGAAAGAAGAAGAGGGAAATCCATGGGAGCCTGAGAGGAAAGCGGCAAATGACGTCAGGGAAACACGGCAAGAGCGCGGCCAGCGTCATGGAAGCTCAGACGAGCCACGGCTACATCACATCATACTATTCCCTGATCGGGCTTTGAGCGGGAAGGTCTCGGGAAGAAAATAAGCGGGAGATGAGCACAGTGGTGTGGTAGTAGTTGTAGTAAGCAAGTATGGGAGAAGTTAGACTCGTCTCGTCCCTTACCTTGTAATGCAACTTCTCCTCTGTCGCAGGTAACGGAACCTCTTTCTCGAAGATATCGCCTTTTCGATCGAGTCGGACGGTCTTACCCCAGTCGTCAAAGGTTCCGGTCACAAACACCTCACTCGCGTGGTGAGGCCTAATTTCCCATGCAGGAGTCGCGTCAGTCAGCTATGCAATCCAACCTATGTTCCGAATAGAGGATGCCTGAGTCAGATCCGGGAAATACGGCGGGAATCATCGAATTTGACCCAGATGACCATGGGATGGAGTGGGAATCCCAGAACGGAGGAACACACAGAATTCAATTAGGTTGCTCAACTTACCATCGGAACGTGTAGCTTCCCATCTCTTCGGTTCAGAGAGGAATTGGAAGGCGAAACCGTAGTCGAAGGGATCGGGGACGAGGAATTGATGAATCCAATTGCTTCTTTGTTTTTTGGAGAGAACCCGTGTCTCAGAAGGGGTCACAAATCTCACAAGAAATGCAACTGGCCTGAAGAGGCTGGGAATTGAAAAGCTGAAGATCCTTTCAAGGCCCAAAGCGGGGTGGCGGTAACACAGACCTTCAGCTAAGATCCAAGGAAGTATAAACCACTAACGAACACCAGGGTCCAGACTCCGTTGACAGCTGTCAGTATGGAATTTTCGTGACTTCGTTCATAATATGAGTCATTTCACGCCAACAAATATCTCCCATGGTCTATTTTGCTTATGGTGTTCGGCTACTAGGTACAATGGAGTTAACTTGGAACCTTGGAAGGTCGTTGCCGTTTGCGGTTCGGATGTTCCTTTCTTTTTTTCTTTTTTTTTTTTTTTTTTT